TTATTTTATTTATTTATTCATTTATTTATTTATTCATTTATTTATTTATTCATTTATTTATTTATTTATTTATTTTACTGCATTTTTGTTGTCTTCATAACATGAAAGAGATAGATATTACATGTTTTTTGTTGTTCTCTTTCTAGGTATTATCCGGGGCAGTGAGGTATGAATTCAAATCAGGCAACACGAACGACAATCTAACTGTCTTTCTGTCTTTGGAAACGAACGGTTCGTGGCATAACATAACTTTACAACGACAAGGAAACACTGTCAGTCTTATCACAGACAACGTGCAAAACAGGAAAACGTTTGATAAGATGCCACATAAATTCCTTGGTAAAAACGTCCGGACGTGGTGGTTGGGGGGAGTAACCAACCCCCCAGCTGGTATCAACCCCGCTAAGTTCACTGGATGTATGGAACAGCTAAAGATCAACGATGATAATGTACCTCTTAATGGACCCAATAAATACCTAATAGTAAAACCTCAAGGTGGGGGTGTGAGTGAAGGTTGTGAACCAAGAGGTGCCTGCATGTCTAATCCATGTGTCAACCCTGTCGAACCTGCCTGTATCGATGAGTGGCATGGCTTTTTGTGCATCAGTGATGCTCCTTGTAGAACCAAACCCTGTCTTAACAATGGCACCTGTAAACCTCAAAAAAATTACACGTTCGTATGCATATGTCATGCTAACTACACGGGTGAACTGTGTGAAGTGTGTCTTGGAGATTATTGCGTGACATCTGATAGACGAACAGAAGATAGTCCATACAGCGTTGGTCTTGTAGCGGGAATAGTCTTCTTGGCAGTAGTTCTCGTAGGGTTCGTAGTTGGTGTATTAGCTGTGAAACGGAACCAAAAACTAAAGCGTGAATCAGAGTACGATGAAAAACATTGTGATGATATATGCATACCAACGGAAATTCAAGATGGCTCGCAGCGTGCGTCACCTTCACACAGCAGTGATGACAGCGGTGTTGTAATAAGAAACCCCAGCCAAAAGTCCAATCCAGATTTACGGTCTACCCCTCAAAACCATGATGATGAAAACATCGTGATACACAAGATGGGGGCACCAGAAGACTACCAACTCAAGCTGCATAAATCCGACGAGAGGATTGACCACGGCTTCTCTGAATCAGATGTCGGAGAATGTGTGATCAAGAATAAGTACGCGCATAAGCACGGCAGTGGTCAGAGACTACAACCACAACATCAATTACAGCAAAGTACCCCCATTGAACGAAACCTACTCAAGCAAAAACCAAGATCACGAGATCGTAAGGCTCCGGGTTCATTGGCTCGACAAGTATTGGATCGAAGACATTATGGTCCGCCTAGAACTGAACCACGCATGCGTGGTCCATACATGACTCGACATCATAAACGAAGAACGAACTCAGTAGACACGACCAGCAGCGAAGAACAACAAGAATTCTCTGATGCTTGCCCAAAATCTGACATTGATAATTCAGAAAGGCTTGATTATTACGATCTTGACGTTGCTAGCATAGGTGTTAGTGAGGCAAGCTATCAGTATGATCCTAGTATGTTTAAGGACAGTATCTCTCGTAGAGACCTACCTGCATTCTCGCAGCAGGAGATCGATCGGTTAAGACAGTCGTCAAGGAATCCACCATCAGGAAGCTTCCTGGACGCCATATCTACATCAAGTGAAGAAGGTCCTACCGTGGACGACAAGTTATCAAGTCTTCTAGAGCAGGCTGATACTTCCAGCGAAAGTTCTGATGATACGTTCACGTGCAGTGAGTTTGAATATGATGAACGACCTACGACCCGAGCAGATGAGACAGATATTCATAATAGTATGGTGTTCTCTAAACTACCTACGAATGGGAACCCTCATCAACGCTCTAACACTGCATCACAAAGTACGTTAAACATGAGTGACGATGATTTGATTATCGCAAACAGGTTCGCACAGAAGCCAAATGGGACGAATGAAATATTCGACTGGGATGATGTACTGAACTGGGGGTTAAGATATCATAACTTACGAGGTGTATATAAAGATATTGCACAACTCAAAGACTCCATTGATGAGAATGAAGAGGAATACGTTTAACATTCTTATGTAGTGACTATATATAAAATAAGACCTCGCTCCCTCCATCAGCCAATCATCTTGCTTTAAGGTTTAGCACGATGTGTTTTTAAAAAAGAATGTTTGACCATTGTTTATAATTTATTCGCTTATCTAACTTACAAGTTTAGAACATTGAACGTTATAGTTTTGTATATATTGTAATGTAGTGTTTAATGTTTGCTTTAAAGATAGACATGTTTTTACAAATTACACAAAGCAGAGGTCTGGCAATGAATGATACACTTATGTAGAAAGCCATATACTTAATATATTACAATCACATGATAGAAGACAATTATTTGACAGATGATAAATGTTGATACCAGAACATGGTTCACGAGTCATTGCATTTGACTAAATGTACAAAAAATAGAAGCATGGCTTTATATTTGTAGTAAAGATCACTTAATATTAACGAATTTGTTATTAAAGTACTTTTTGATATTAAAATGTTCAAATGAGGTGAATCATTTCAAATATCCTTATACTTTTGATTTTATTGTCAATGTTTTCACTTTTTAACAGCCATTCCAAGATTGAACAAACTGATCGAGTTTGCATTGCAATGCATTGTTGGACTGTCTTAGTGGAGATATTTCCAAGATATGATATCTATATAGTATCCTAAAACGGCCCCAAAAAACACTGTAGCGTCAACTCGACCCAGGTTTTCCCCCATTCTTTGTATAGGGAATATTAAATACAACAGTTATGTAAAGGTGTTTGTGGTGGGAGGGGAGGGAAGGGGGAGTGCTCAAGTTCAATGTTTGCCCGAGCCCGTAACTAGAGCGGATGCAATAGGCCCTTTGCAGTTAACGGTCACGTGCCTCTACTGGAATGCAAAATTATTATTTTTATATTACATTGATGATTCTTTTTAGCTGCTAGCTACTTGTAAAGAACCGAATGAAAAGATGTGTTTCTAGTGTGTTACGAAATGCAGTTTTATTACGATCTCTCGAAACAGGTTGTAGAAAGTTTGTTTGCAAATTGGGAATCAAAAATGTTCATTCATTTGCTCTCAGTGAATTAATCAGCACGTGATTGCTTAGCTGCAAAGGGCCTATTAAACCGTGAAATAAAATCAAACTAAATACTAACTAATAGTATCTATTTAGTGACTAATATTTGCTATCACTTAACCAGAACATTCATCATACAAAGACAAATACACAAGAGACCATTTGTGTCTTTTGTTTAATAAATGTTCTGGTTGAGTAATAGTGACTGTTAGTCACTAAATACATACTATTAGTTAGTACTTTGTTTTTATTTCACGGTTTAATTGCATCCACTATTATTGCAGACATGCGCAATTTAGGTCATGTACATATCCCACAAGTATTAATGGGTCTTGAGAAATGACCTTGTCGCCAGATATAGACCTTGAAATGCATAACCTGTTCATGCATTGCAGAAGTCGTAATTGGTGCATCATACTTTGATGATGAGAATAGTTCTGTGAATAGGGCTTTATTGACCTTGTCAGTATACTGTTTATCACCTGCATTAAAGTGTTTTTTTAATTCTGGATATAGCAGTAGTTTATTGCTCCTTTATTACTACACATGAATGAGCAATGGTAACACATACAACAAACCAGTAAAAAACCTTATCATTTTACGATGTGTCTACGCTAGACGATGTTCGAGACTCTAGCACTTGTGGGAGCCACTGAGTAGGCGTTGTGCATGCGTTCACCATATCGCATGTGATAGGTACCAAGTAACCCCCCGCCGTCCCCTCTTAACAGTTCCCGTAAGATGACAATTGTTTTGAACTTACCATTTCCTACTCCTGGGAATACTGCTAAAAAACAATTTTTAAAGTTTTACATCTGTGGAAATTYGAAAACAAACGTCATGTCATGTTGTTATTGACATGCGCAATATATATGTCATGTACATCCCACAAGTATAAATGGGTCTTGAGAAATGACCTTGTTTCATAAAATTAATACTAAAAATTATCTAGCAGTTCATTGACGAGTCCTAACAGGACGAGAACTGTGGTACCTCGTTTCTGCATTATGCTTTGATGTGAATAGTACTGAGAAGAGCAGTTTATTCACTTCGTCAGTACACTGTTTATCATCGCAGCTGGTGCGGTTTTTACAATGAGGGTTGCCTATAGTCAAATTAGACTGAGAAGAGAAACCAAATTGATTAAGGTTCTATTCAGTCAGACCATACCAGTTTATATAACTTAATATTCAAGATATTCAAATTAAGTGTAGTTCGTAATAAACGCATGCAAATTGCAAGTTTTTTTGACAATAATAATTACGAGAAAAATTGAATTTGTGCACTCTATTGTAATGTCAAGGAACAAGAAGAGCAGGATCATACCAAGCCCTTCGAAACACTCCCACATGAACTATTACAAATACCTTTCTTAAGTAAGGTAACGGAGATGTTTTCTGATCGACGTTTCAATGGTAGGGTAGTTCAAGAAAGTTTCTGTCCTCAAACGAATGGATAATATTATATCAATTTATAATCTGACGCATTTGCATAGAAATTGATTATTTCAACGCATCCCACATGGATAATCTTGTTGAAACAGCCAATTTTAGTCCCTTGGGTTTTAATCGAATTTTTCGCTCCTGCAGATAATTTATGCCTAGCGCAAAAAAGGTAACAACGCTCATGAGAGCGGTGTTCGAGCCAAGAAGTAATAAAGGTAAAAAGATCAAACAAGAAAATGAGTGATATCCAAACAGCGAAAAATGCAGTTAACCTTCAACGTGTTTTCTTTATTAAGGGTAAAATAGTCTTGCAAGTTTTCAATATAAACTATTATCAATTCATTGGCATTTCTTGGAGAAAATGCAAGCCAAAGGTGAGCATATTTCCTGATCTTCATTTGAATCTCCTATTCGAGCATCTTCACAATCCTTTGTTTTGTCCTCATGAAATATGTATGAGCCTGAGAAAAGAAGATCCCACATGGACCACAGTGGTGGTA